AATATTCCAAAAACTGCTTTTGTAACCAAAAATGCACAATATGAATTTGTTTGTCTACCATTCGGGTTGAAAAACTCTTCTGCAACTTTTCAGTGCCTGATGAATACTGTGTTGAGGGACTGTCTCGGAAAGACAAAACAGAACTATCTCGATGATATTGTGATTTATTCCAAAAACATCCAAGAACATTTTGAACACCTTAAACAGCTCTTTGATGTGCTAGAAGCAGATGGCTTGACCCTGAACCTGTCGAAGTGCAACATGCTCCAAAAGTCCATCACTTTCTTAGGACATGTTGTGTCCGCCGAAGGAGTTCGTACTGAAACCGCCAAAGTAGAGGCTGTCCAAAATTTTCTTGTCCCAGCAACTCTCAAAGAGGTACAATGGTTTTTAGGTCTTGCTGGGTGGTACCATAGGTTTATTCCACACTTTTCCGAAATCGCCACACCATTGCATTCTCTCAAAAACAAAAACATTGCCTGGGAGTGGACAATGGAATGCCAGCAGGCATTTGATAAACTGAAAAAAGCTCTTCAAAAAGCACCTGTGTTGGTACCCCCGGACTTCACAAAAAGTTTTAAAGTCCAAACAGATGCCAGTAATGTTGGCCTGGGAGCTGTGTTGACTCAAGATCATGACGGAGCTGAACATGTTATAGCTTATGCATCAAGACTTCTTCATGGAGCTGAAAAGTCCTATTCCACGGCCGAAAAGGAATGTCTGGCGGTGATTTGGGCAGTTGAGAAGTGGAAACAGTATTTGGAGGGGACACATTTCGAAGTGTTTACGGATCATGCTGCTCTTACATGGGTTTTCAATCATCCCCGCCCAACTTCACGACTGACCAGGTGGGCTTTGAGGCTACAAAGCTTTGACTTCACAGTTAAATATCGAAAGGGACAATGTAATGTGGTACCCGATACACTCTCTAGGGGTATAACTTTACAGGAGATCAAGGGTCAGATTGCTGTGTCAGGCGACTAACATTGGATCAGACATACCTGTCAGCTGGGATGAAATTGCAGTTGCTCAGAAACAGGATCTATTACTTCAGCCTCTATGGGAAGCAGCTAAGTTACCTGTAACAGACCCTACCCGAATTCATTATGTCATTCAGAACAATTATTTATTTCGATGTGTGCCTAATAAACATCAAGGGGAGACTATGCAAGTAATTATACCATTGACTTTGAGAGAGAAGTTCTTGCAATTTGCCCATTCCAATCCCTTGAGTGGACATCTAGGGCGGATGAAAACTCTCAGACGTTTACTTAATGTTGTCTATTAGCCAGAGATACGCAAGGATGTTTGGCGTTTTTGTACAACCTGTCAAAACTGTCAGATTTATAAACCAAGAATCTCCAAGCTGTCTGATCACCTACAGTCGACACCAGTAGTAGAGCCTGGCCACATGTTGGGTTTTGATCTCATGGGTCCCTTCCCAAGGAGTTCACAGTCCAATTAATACCTGATGGTGGTGGTAGACTACTGCAGTAAATGGGTGGAATTATTTCCTCTGAGATCTGCCAAGACTCACTTCATTGTTAACATCTTGATAAAGGAGATATTCACTCGATGGGGTACGCCCACCTGTCTGGTCTCAGACCGTGGACCCCAGCACAACTTCTGAATGATGCCTGCACGCACTGGGGGGTTATTCAGAAGTTAACAACAACATACCATCCTCAAGATAATATCACAGAAAGAACCAATTGAACTCTAAAGGCTATGATATCTTCCTATGTTAAGGACAACCATAGACAATGGGATAGATGGATATCTGAGTTCCAGTTTGCCATAAACACGGCATGGCAGGAAAGTACTGGTCTAACCCCTGCAGAGATTGCATTAGGCCGCAAGTTAAAAGGACCCTTGGACCGTCTCATTCGAAATCCACCTAATCCTGAGAATATGGCCTATAGAACTATTGAGAGGCAGAGAGAACTGAACTTTACTGAACGAGTAAAAGAGAAGACTAGTCAAGCTCAAAAGCGACAAGCAAGGTACTATAACAGAAAAAGGAAACTTGAGTCATTTGAAGAGGGAGACTTAGTCTGGATACGTACTCACCTTCTGTCTCGGGCTTCAGAATCCTATATGGCCAAACTGGAACCGAAATGGCAAGGTCCAGCTAAAGTTTTGAAAAGGTTAAACAATGTTAACTACTAGGTAGAGATGTTGGATGACTCAAAACAAGTTGAAACCTTTCATGTAGAAAAGATGAAAAAGTTTTATGGAGTTGTTTAAATTTTTTTAAGGGGAGGGGTGTGTAACAGTTTCCCTGTTACTTATGTACCAGAAATCCTCTTAGAGCAATATTGTCACTACTCACCTGGGCATTAGGGGGCTCTCTGTTAAGGTAATGCATGAATTTACGTATTTAAGGTAACAAAGAAGGAGTAAGGGCAGGAAGTTAATTCTCTATCTTCTTCAGAGAAGCTTACCTCATGGTGGTTTGAGACTTTGTACCCTGTTTGAGGAACTTTATAGTTCTAAGCTCATCCGTAAGTAATAGTTCATGGTATTTTGCTTTGTTAACAATAAGTTTTTGTAGCACATGGTTATGGTTTGTTTGTTTAAATGTTTGTCTACAGAGGGTTTGTTTTCTGAGCATGTATGGATTATTTGGTGGCTTAAACATCTGAGAAGTCTGGAACTAGGAGAACTGACTTACATCTACTGCTTATAAGCAACGCTGGACTTCAAACATCTCTTTTCAGGTTAAACTTTGCTGGGGAATCATCTTGGCATCCAAGTACTGTTTTTTGCACTTCATGTTTCAACTAAGACTGTGCTCTCGCTTTATGCTTTCTACAACAAAGACTGAGCAAAGTATATGGGTTTAAGTGATTACAAGCCAAGGACTATGCTTTGGGATCCTGAACTGTTTTTATGCTCTGGTCCTAACTGTGTAGCTCTCAGTTGTTTGTGTCATATCTAATTTGTAGGTGCTTGGTAATTGTATTTAATACACCTGACTCATGAGTAAGATTGGTCTGTTTGGTCCCTCATTTCGTGTAACACTTGCATGAAAGACAAAGGTATATGTGTTACAGTGTATTTATGCAAACTTGTTCTTGGGAAGTGAGAGCAAAGCTGTGGCTTTGGTTTAGATGTAGGAGGTGTCAGCATAGGCTCTGTTCTTCAAACAGTCATAGCACATTTATTTTGTTTCTAATGAAAGAAGATTCTGCATTTTCCAGACAACAGAAATTGATGATGGAGTTAGGATTAGGCTTCAATTCCACATGTAACAGCACTGCCGTGGGTTCAGAGAAGATCGCTCCTGCTGTAGTTCTGGGTTTGTGCTGTTTGGTTGGTTTGCCAAGCAACATTGTGGTAATCATCAGCATTGCCTGTGAGTGGAACAGAAATCCGAGCTTAACCTTAAAACTAATGCTAAACCTTGCGGTCTCTGATGCTTTGACCCTTTGCTTAGCTCCTTTTGTGCTGTTTGGAATACTGTTTGGATGGAAACTCGGCCTTTGGTCTTGTAAGTTCCTGTTTTTTTTGGGTCACTGGAGTCTGTATGTTGGTGTCCTGACGGTCACCTCCATGAGCGTCCACCGCTATCACAATGTCATCAAGTCCAGAGTCACTAACAGAATGATACTGCACAGACTGGAAAGATGGCACAGGCGCCTTCCGCTGATTGGCATCTGCATTCTAGCATTTGCTTTTGCCCTACCAGTATTTTTTACTCAAGGGCTCAAAGACAAGGATGGACTGCAAAGATGTCAGAGGAAAATGGAGTCACAGTCTGTAGAAGTGACTGTTTTGCTTTTTGAGATCCTGTTGGGGTTTGTCATTCCCTTTTTGACAATGTTGACATGTTATCTATGGCTGCACATAGGGTTGAGACAAAAAGCCAAGAGCTCCAGTCTAACTAGAGCTCCACAGGACCAGGAACCCAGAAACCAGGGGACAAACGTTAGGACTTACAAGAAGAGACTTGTGACCAGCATCATTATGGCTTTTTTTCTGTTTTGGACTCCTGTGCACATTATCAATGTGATTGATATAGTCACTACTCTGACTAAAACATCTCATCCAGATGTTCATTCCCAACTGAAGTCCTTTCGCCGAGTATATGGTGATACAAACAAGACTCTGGCTTTGCTAAACTGCTGTCTGAATCCTTTTCTTTGTTTTCTTTTCAAGAAATGTCATAAAGTGTACTAAGTAGAACCCATATTTGATTCACAGTTACATATTCAAATAATTATTTTTAAGTTGTAAATCTTGTCTGCTAATTTGGGATCAGTTTGTTTTAAAAAATGTAAAAAGCTGCATTAATGCAATTCTGAAATCTGTGATCTGCCAAATGATCATCTATGTGAATGAATAAATGCTTATTTACAATTATTTAAATGATTTTTAATTTCTTTAATTTGTGCATGTTTTCAATGCATTTCTGGTATGAAAAATTGCCATTTCAATCTTTAGAAAGATGAAAAACATTTAAAATAATTTATATAAAACAACCCTGTAATGAATTTGGTAGCTGCTGACAGCAGTATTATTAGCCCATATTATTTGAATGTCCACGCAGTATAGATGATGCACATTTAGCTACAGTATACGGTTATGTTCCAGCCTGTTTCCTTCTTTTCTTTTTTACAGTAATAGTATACTTTATTTGTAGCTATAGTGTCTTAAATGCTGTCCCACTATTATACTGGCAGGCAGATGTTTTATAGGTCTTATGTCTTCGTAATGGAACCATAAGCGAATGGGACACTGAACACCATTGCACATTAACCGGGTGCTAAATGCTAAAACAGAAACAGGAAAGGAAACACTGTGCATGGTTGTTTGACCACTTTGTTTAGTTTCAGATGAGTACCAGACATGTGATTGGCATGATGATCAGTTTGCTTTGTCAATTCACATCTGTATTACATTGAGAACGATTTGAACAATGTATGAAAATGTATTAAATGTATATGTTTTAAATTAACTTGTATCACTAAATAACATGATTAATAGCAAGATGGACTGGAATTTTTTTAATGAAAATATAATAAACATATTTCCAGTTATGCAATTTACAGTAACATATGTCAATATCATTCAAATCCTTGAACACAGACTTGAGAACAGAATAACAGTACAACATATATTAGGTCTCCGTTTGGCTTAAATGCTTCTTTTTTCTTTCTTTTTTTTTCGACTGGATAAGGATTTTGACTATATGCACAACAACATGTTGCAGTACTTAAAAAGTTTAATAAATTTCATTAAACTACTTTTCTGACATATTCTTAAATTTAGAATACAACCAACTGGGAGTTCGAAGACAGGGCGAGGGAAGTTGAGGCAGGTGGTTCAGGTTTCCATTCAGAAACAGATGCATTGGAGGAAGAGTTTTACACAAGCTGGTTTTGGATATAGTATATTTGTGCACTGAACGCCTCAGTCTGTGTTGGATGAGGTGTGATATCTGAGAGACAAAGGACAGAAATAAAATCAGGGACTCTCAGGATGTTGTTGCCACAATGCACCTGTCCAGCAGGAAGTGGCACTACAGTGGAGGTCAAATGATGCTGAAGGACTAAATATTCACTCTTCTTATGAACATAATCAGATCTCAAATAACGACATGATATGTTATCAAACTAGCCTAAAACATGTCAGAGAGGCGCAGCCATGAGCAGGCATTTGAGATCTTACAGGCAGGGAATATTTCATGAAATTTTCGCAAAAATTTCAAAAGTAGTCCAAATTGGATGATGTGTTCTTCACCGCTTTTTGTTGCTTTGCATTGTTAAATATGTGTAAATAAGACACCTGAACTCTCACAGTAAATAAGAAGAATGTCTCATGTCTGCCAATAGGCTCACTCCCAGCATGCTTTGCATTCAGCCTCTTTGAACAACAGCAACAGCAAAAGGATAAATGTTAAATGCCATTTTTGCTTCCAACATGCACAATTCATTAAAAAAGCCTCCATTGTTGATCTTCTATGGAAATGGTTGTACTTCTACATACACGTTTAAAACCTTAAACACCTTAAGTCAGTATCTCATAATATTAATGATGACAATTATAATAATCAGAGCAATAATTACAGTTTAGCTATAATAATGCATAATGTCTTAAATCTACTCTTTAGATATTTTCCTTCTCTTTCTCCTCCCTTGTTCAAAAAGTTCCTCAACCGTCTGCATTTGCCCCATTACACTGTCCCCAACATACAGCAACTTAAATATTTACAATGATTCATTTACAACCAATGGCTCTGCCCATTCATCAGCTTGTCTTTTTTGGAGATTAAAAGCTCGTGGCATAGGGTACATTTGTCCAGTGAGTTTAAAACAGGCTCTGTGCCTATACTGTCCCGGGGCGCGTTCACCCTTGCACTCACATGGCCAGTAGCTGATTGAGTGCCATGCGGAACTGCTGGGTGCAGCCAGCGAGCTCCCGCACCCTCTCTGTCATGTCTCTTGCAGCCCCTGGCGAGGGGTACTGCAGGGCTGCTGTCTTGGTGCTGACCACAATGTCTTTGAGCTTTTCGCATAGTGTGTTGCTGTGCTGGGCCACCCTTGTGCGAACCTCGGGAGACTTGGCTTGCCTGGAGAGCGTGTCTCCAATGAAGACGAGCTTGTGAGCGCTGAGGATGACGAATTTGCTGTGGGCGACGAAGATTTTGGGCGGCTGGTTGTTGCTGATGGAGGAGTAGAACGCGTCGATGGCGTTGGTGAGCGTGGTGATGTTGGCCTCGCACTGCTCCATGTAAAAGAGCAGCAGCTGCCGGTCGCCCATGCACAGCTTACTGCGCGGCGTCTGCAGGTAGTGAGAGGGCGGAGTCCAGGCCGAAATATCATTGTTGATTGGTCGGGAGACCTCCTGCTCCAGTCGTTCAAACTGCTTCAGCTGTTGGGGACATGAGCGAGTAATATTGTATTTAATAGACAAACAAAAAATACTGTTGTAAAAAGTGTTACATTGCATATATATATACAAATAAAATATGACATTATTTAATCATTTATTTGTTTACGTACTGTATGTATTTATATAAGACGTATATAAATTATTATATTTAAAAAAATTTGAATAATGCACAACTACATGTGGCTTTGAAAGGCATCATGAAGTATATAAATAAATGTATATAAATAATTTACAAATTTATAATAAATGTAAATACATTTATATAAATACCATGATGCCTGCCATATTTCTGCCATATTTGAGGGCTTTAATGTGATTATTGCATTTATTGGTGTTATTTTATTAGATGAATTTCTAAATTGTTAAACTCCCTCGACAAAATGATATTGTGTCACTTTGTAGAGAGTTCTGTGAATAAGGTGTTATAGTCTCATATACCTGTTGTTGTTCCAGCAGAGTCTTATTGTGTTTGATGCTCCCTTTTTCCAACAGCTGTCTTTGGGTCTTTTCAAACTCTTCTTTACCCTAAAATAGAAAATGAAAATACGTTTTGTAATGAATAAATAGTTTACTGTCTATGGATAGGTGGGTAGACAATAGTAATGCATGTTAAAAACTTAAGTCACAACTTTAAAGCAAAAAAGTACAAGATCAGGTTAAATTACTTGTGCATAAGCAAATAATTTTTTACGAAGCCACAACCAACATACAACTGTTCCCACTGTTTTTAAATAAAAAACAAAATTGAATCCCATCCATTGAGTTCCTTCAATTCAATTAATGTGCACTGAAAAAATGTCAGTTTAGTCCACCAGGGGGCAATGTAATATCACTGTGAAACTCGACACATTTTCTGTGGAAAATATTACTGTACAGAAATCCTATGCCCATTCAAACATGCCCCCTCTGATTTGTGAGCTAAAAGGATTTTTAAATGCAACTTAAAACAATATATCTCTCTGATATTTAAATTGCACAATTATTGTAGATAAAAAAGTGTTTGTCTAAAACACTGTGGTAGAAATGAGCAAATATGGTCAGCCCAACTGAGTCATAGCTTTCACAAAACTATTAAAAATAAAATACTATATAATATAATATATTATATAACAGTTTTTATAATTAAATTATACAGTTTATAATAAAATCATACAATGATATATACTAAAAATAATATATAATAAATAAAATATATAAAAAATAAACTATATACCAGGGCCTGTTTGCGTTGCAATATTGAATAAACTAAGCAAGTTTTTTATTTTATTTATTTTTTTTTTTTCGTATTTTCTTGTTTTGCCTAGGGCCCCAAATAAGCCAGGACTGCTAATGAAAAAAACATATGCATGACCTGACTAAAAGATGAAGAAATATCTGTGTGACTGAACAAAATTCATCTTGTCTGCTCAGTTTCACTGGAAGTTTTGACAGAACCACACAGCAGATGTGCAACAGCTTGTGCTAAAGGAAGATATATGTGGGCTTTAAGGAAAAGCAGGTCTGCACATGCAGTCATAGTGATTGATGAAAAGGCCTGAGGCTTGACACATTGGGGATTACAGGCAGAGCCCACATAAAGATGCATGTAGTCCATTGATTATATCAGTGACTGAGAACATACACCTGGATACTGTTCTCAAAAGGAAACAAATTAATATTTTGCAATGACTTTATATTTAGCGTACCTGTAAATGGACATAGTCGTAATCCTCCATCCAACCCTCCTCTGTTGTCTCGTATGGCCTGTCTGCAGTCTCTTCCTCGGCTGAGAATTTGGGAGGGGAGGGTAATGGGCGGGACTGGATGTTAGCCCGTTCAGGTGTGCCTGACTGATAGGCTGAGATGTTGTTGTTGTTCGTCAGCTGACCCAGCATGTCACCAGTATGAGGGACAGGCGGCAACGGCAGTTGCTGCTGTTTGTTTGTCCGTTTGAAGAGCAAAGAGGCATTGCCATGGAGAAACGATGCTAACTGCTTCGTGTCGTCGGGCACGCCACGGGCACACATGACCAGCCGGTCTAGGTCGTCCCCACCGGTGCCTGTAGAAGGTGCCATCAAAGCCGCGGGGGACCAGCCCAAGGAGTCCAGTGCCTGACTGTACCTCACCAGACCTTGGAAGGCCTCCTCCATCTTCTGCACCTGCTTGCTGAGCTTGGTCTGCAGTGTACGGTCGGTGGCCTGGGTGGCGTTGGCTACGGCACCTCTGGCGAACTCCAGCAGGTCCCTGACAGCCACACGAATGCGGTCCACGGCCTGTCGGATGGCAGGGAGGTTGGACTCCATCTGAGTGGGGCTGCGCCAGTTCCCACTGATGAATGACATGAGGAGGGACACTGAGCTCTCCACGGCCTGTTGATGACGGGACAGTCGCTCCATGGCCTGGTCTAGATCCAGGAGCAGCAGGCGGCCGGGCCCGGAAGATTCCCGCACCGGCACCATGTCTAAAGAGGACATTGAGAGGTTGCTGCGGGTGCTTCCCGTGCTGGACGCCGACAGGCGTTTGAAACTCACAGTGAGCTCCTCGGTGGCCGCTGCGTCACGCACCACCTGCGGAGGCACATCGTACACATAGTCGCCTGATTCTTCGCCCGCTGGTCTCTCGCGGGGGAAGTCATACACATCTGCAGGATGGTGGTCCTGTGGGCTGCCCTTTCGCAGGCTGAGGACTGCGGCTCTCTAGGACCGAACTTGCCTACCCCTGATACAACAATATGATAGAATGGATAAGTATATGGAGTAGAGGTCGACCAATATGGGTTTTTCACTGGCCGATGCCGATATTTAGAAATCAGGGCAGCCGATGGCCGATATATGATGCCTGCGTCACGCACCACCTGCGGAGGCACATCGTACACATAGTCGCCTGATTCTTCGCCCGCTGGTCTCTCGCGGGGGAAGTCATACACATCTGCAGGATGGTGGTCCTGTGGGCTGCCCTTTCGCAGGCTGGCAGGGATGTCATAAATCTCCTGGCCCTCAGGCTGACGTTTTCCTATTAGCTGAGGAGGAGGAACATCATAGACATCCTCTGGTATGGGAGGCTCGGGACCGCCTGGGATCTGAGATAGATAGGCCTGGTTTTGATTCTCCAGACTCTTCATCTTGGCAAAGTGAGGAGGAACGTCGTACGTTTCCTCCCTGATTGGACCATCTGGAACATCTTTGCTGACAGATGGAGGAATGTCATACACCTGTAAAGAGAAATAATGTGTTTACCAAAACTAGCCTTGTATGATCATAACTGAACTCATTAGGAATGTACCGATATTAAAATGCTGGCCAATACAATCATTTTAAATGATAAAGTGAATTTAGGCATCACAACATTATAATATTATGTTTAATAAATATTAAAATGTTAAAAATGGATATGCATTTTGAAATTTGCTAAAGACATTTAACAGTGTTATTAAATTATTAGTGTTTTTAAAGATCAACTTAAAGTAAGCTTTAGAAGGTGATGTATCCAAATAATCAACTTTGTTCTATTTTCCTTGATTTTCATATCCATGTATTCGTTTATGATTTATGATTTATTGTTTTTTTTATTTTGTGTTTATGCTTATATTAATCCTCATTATATATTTATATTCAAATACTGTTACTCATTTATGTTTTTTTTTTATTTTATGTATATTCACTGCCCGAGTAATGATGTTTTTCAGAACTAGTCATTAACGGTACTAGATGTTCTTTTCTAGAAACTGTGTTTTTGAATATGTAAAATATGATATTTAAAAGTGCTTATTTTCCTATATTTTTTCTAAAGTTGTGGACACTATGTCTAACCACACATCTATTTTTAACCGCATTATTTGACAGTTCACGATGACCTAGCCCAGGGGTAGGCAAGTTCGGTCCTAGAGAGCCGCAGTCCGGGTTTTTCACTGGCCGATGCCGATATTTAGAAATCAGGGCTGCCGATAGCTGATATATGATGCAGATTTTTTGGTCCGATTTTCTTTTTTTTCCCTATTCATCTCATAAAAGTGAGTTTGTGCAAATGATTATTGCAGGGTACAAGATAGTAATGGTAGTAGTAGCCCAATTTAGAGTAATAATACATGGCTCAAAACTTAAGCACATTCTCAAAACAGTTCTGAAGGATGCTTTTTGTTTATCTTTGCCGACAGACACCAGTGTTTCCCACAGACTGCAAATTAAATCTCTGCCAGCAGGAGGCGCTTTGGGAGCTGGAGATATAGCGGTTTCCCCGGTAACGGCTGTAATCAAATAAGCACTGCTCACAAACGCCATCAGGCATTACAGGAAAGACGAAATGAAAATGACATCGAAGCTGTTCTGAAGACAGTCGGTTCTTTTCAAAGATACATTCATATAAAAACACCTGCATTTTAATTTTGAAACGTGAAGCGCTCGTTTTATTCAATGAAGTATAAGCCTTTTGGAAAATCTATTTGTGGCGGTCAGTTTTGATATTGTGATGAGCTGCCACAAATAACTCAATGTACATGAAACACAGGACACTGCTATAAGTCAAATGGCCATAGTGGTAACAAAAATAAAAGATTTCACACATATTGCACTGCCTGCTGCTCATAACTGCTGAAGAGTGCGCTGGCTGCTGAGGTTATGTGTGAACAAGTCGCGGCTGCAGCCCGCAGAGCGTGAGCTGCTCCGTCTCCCGCAGCCAGCCAGAGGGATTTCCGCAACAACGCTTAGCTGCCCACCAGTGCGCCTGCCTATAAATCGGCCTAATTTGCAGCACAATCGGCCGATGCCGATTAATTAAAAAATGCCAAAAATCTCTAACATCTCTATTAATCTCTAGACCTCTAATATGGATAAATGGATATATATATTGTTCCTACTCTGATTCTTACCTTCTTTTCTAATCTTACCTTTACACTTTACTTTTTCTTCTCCTTCTTTCTTCCGTTTCTTTTGCTTTTCCCCTCTCCTTGCATTCTACTTATATCTTAATTCTTTTGGGCTATTCTTCTGATATTCACTACTTCATCCCTTAAACATAATAATTTTGAATACTCTGTACTTTAGTACAAAATAGAGGAAATGAAAATGAACAATGTCTAAAGTTGGATGATAACCAATAGACACTTAAAAAAAAATCTATATACATTTATAACACTATACTTTCTGTTTTATTACCTTGGTATTAAAATACAGGAAACTAGATAATGCTGATGGCAGATTTGACATCTTTGTCCCTTCTAATCAGCATAATCAATCTCTCAGTACTTTTTTCCTCTTTAGGAACCTCATATAAACACTATTGTGGGCTTTTTCTTTGCTATTAGAGCAGATAACGACTTCTGCTTCTGAAAACCCCTTAAATGTGAAAAGGGTCTATATGGAACCCAAATATTGTGCACTTCTAGAATCAATTTAAAGTTATACACACTTAGGATTTGCTAAATTAACACAGTTTGAAGGTGTTCCAAGTGACTTTTTTTTTTTTTTTTTTTGGAAACGCTTAACACAGTTTGAAGGTGTTCCAAGTGACTTTTTTTTTTTTTTTTGTGGAACAGCTTGCATTAAACACTGAAAAAGGTGTCCTGTGTGACTGACGAGCCGATCAGAAATTCTTTGTGCTTGTGAATCATTTTACATTGTAGGGTTTTACTGTCATTGGGTTGGTTGAGATGTCATTAGTGGGAAGAGTTGTGGAGGGATGGCATGTGTTTGTAGCAGGCGGCCTAATTCAGTTGCCAAGTCTGGCTAAAGGTAGCAAAATAACAGAAATCGCTTACAGATCCTATTCTGCTGTACTTCATCATTGTAAGGCCATCAGTGTTGTTTTGTTTCAGGAAATACAGATCTCTTTAACCCCCATTAATGTGCCGATCAAAGGTGTAAATAAAACTGGAGTGTAATTGATTTGTGCCAGTCTTGTATGGAGACAAGAATGGAGTGTTACCATTTGTTGGTAGTGCAGCTGGCTCTTGTCCACACTAGGTGGAGTGTCATAGATGTCCTGACCATCTCTACTGGGTGGGCCTTTCATAGCCATGGGAGGAGTATCATAAACCTGTGACCCAGAGAGAAACAGGGTCAAAAAGACACATAAAACTCATTTTCTAGTTTTAATAAGGTAAATACTTGAATTAAATCACATTCAAGACAAAAATCTGCGGCTATAAGTAGATCTGACCTGTAAAGGAAGTAGCTATTTAATAAAAATACAGATACTAAATCAATTGAAATTTGTGTTAGTTGAAAAGAATCTAATAGGGAGGGGCTGTTTCTCTCATTTATGCTACATTCCTTTCTACTTTCTCCTACATACTTTGCCCTTTTTGTCTTTTTCTCTCTTTTCCTTCCACCCTTGTTTTTTGTGCATGTTGGAGAAGAATTGGGATTGAGGCAACTGGATGAATGGGGGTCGAAGGGAACACAGGTACACCCGATAGCGGACACACTCCCACTGATGGGGAGAGATTACAGGAGCACGACCTCAGACAGGAACAGCTGGAGGAAATCAGCAGTGCTGCAGAGATGCTGACCTCCACCTTCACCCACAATCTCTCTCTTTCTTTGCTACCTGTCCAGTGGCTCTGTGGTCAGGCTGAGATTTTGAACATGTGCGATAGTAAAGAAGAGCACTTAGCGGAGGTATGCAGAGCGAAAAAATTACCATTTTAACAACAAGGACAAAGATTACATCGTGTGAAATATTATAAAAGTCACCAGCTATGTTGTCCTGTGGCAAACTACTCTGTACTGTCATTGTTTTAGTGATTCATGTCACTCTGTAACATATACTACTGTACAAAAGTTTAGGATCAGTACAATTTGTTAATGTTTTTGATGTCTTATGTACACCTAGGCTGCATTTATTTGAAAAAAATAAAAATGTAATTAAAAAAGAAATAGTAAAAACAATAATATTGTGAAATATTATTGCAATTTAAAATTGCAAGTTTTCTATTTTAACACATTTTAAAATGCAATTTATTCCTGTTCTGGCAAATCTGAATTTTCAGCACTCTAGTCTTTACTGTCACATGACCCTTCAGCTAAACTGCTGAATATTTGTGTGGAAACTGTGATACATTTTTTTCTGTATTTTTTGATGAATAGAAAGTCCAAAAGAACAGCATTTATTTTTTTTATAGAAATCTTTTGTAATGTTATAAATGCTTTTAATCTCACTTTTGATCAATTTAATTTGTCAATGCTAAATAAATAGTTAAAAAATAATCTTAATCACCCCAAACATTTGTATGGTAGTATAATTCAGGTATTTTACAAAGACATATATCCATACACATATATTTATTTCTATCTACATATGATTATCATCATTTTATGTTTATGTATGACAAATTTGCCCCAAAGGTATAGTAAAAATAAACCTCCCCACATTGAAATATCATATACTTCTGTAGTTTTTTATATCTAAAAAAAGTTTTCAATTAGAGACTAACCCTATCCACCAAGGAACCCTTTTTAGATTTTTGTAAGAATAAATGTACATGTTTTATTTATGGAACATTTTTTCCAGTTGAGGGTGCCCCCAGATGTATAGTTAAGTAAACCCACACACACAGAGCTATGCATGCATTCTCAACACTACAACAACAGCATTGACTCGAGTTTCAGAACATGCTATAAATGAAGTGTGACTTCCTGTCCCAATGCTCTGTCAAACCTGTGACAACTGATATAAATATCAAATAATGCCTGCAGCTCAGCTGGTACAAACAATAAAAAATAACCACAAACACACACACACACACACAAAGTCTCACAGTGCTCGAATGTTAGTAAAACCCACTAAACCTTTTATAGTGCTAGCAGTAAAAGTGTGATTTTTCCACTACTGCATCTGATATGGGTGAAATGAGGTCAAGGGAATTTGGATTAAGCTGAAGTCTAATCTTGTCTGAGATAGAGTAAGTGTCACACACACTTAGGGACTGGTAAATTTCAATTGTACATTTTTAGTTTAATACTTATGCATTAATAATTTAAACCAGTGGTTCACAAACTGCCCTCTAAGGATTGTAATGGCAGAAAATGTATATTATTACAAATGCAGCTTAGACATAGACTTCTTGTTGTCATACAGTACAAGACAGTATTTTATGGACAACTAAAATGTTACAATTCAAGCATTAGCCTATATACCACTCCTTCTTCATTTATTTCTCCCCAGAGCTCCTGATGATTCTACAGAAACGCCTGCTAGTAGCAGTAATCATTGTTTATAACAGAAATAGGTGTCACATACAAAGTGAAAATTTAAAATTTTGTATTTGAATATTAAGAGTTAAAAATCTTATTACTTCTCTAAGATTGGGATGCTACACAACTGTCAAACATCCATTTAAACAATCTGCACCTCAAGTAACAACAACAAATTCACACAGAAGAATCCTTATATATGCCTTTAATGTGTACTAGGGACTTCTGAAGTCACATCTACTCTACACTTCTATCAATACTGCACCAATCACACACATCCTTACACAAACACCATTAGCATTTATAATGCTGGCCAAACAATGGCTTTCAATCTGTTGTGCACCCCCAGGAGAGCCTGCAGTCAGAGACTAAGGCAGGAGAACCCATGAATACCAAAACCTCTCATTGAGCATCCAGCAGCCTCTGTGCCAGCTCCATTTGATTAAACGACCATGTTTTTTGCTCTGTATCGCTCTAATCTGAGAGATGCCGATTTGTTACAATGAACATTTGGAGCGATTTTGAGGTAGAAGTGGTTTGCTTCCAGCGTTTTTGGTCAGTATAAAAAATTGAGTGAGAAAATTGAGGGAATTTACTAAACAGTTGCTGCACGGTCTTTTGGTGTAAAAACCTGAACTTTATTCACTAACCCCTGATGAACCAGTTTAAGGAGATGCTAACTATTAACTATCATGAATAAATTAAATACCTGATTCTTTTCCCTAGGCTTTAATATATGGTAACATCCTCCATAACTAAATAATTAGCTTGATTCAATAACTGAGATTAGTGAATTATATGATTGAGTGAAACGTGCTAAAAAATGCAAATAGCAAGTGGCAATAAACAATGCTATCAGTGGCCACAATTCATTCTTACTGAATTCCCTCCAGTGTTTTATGTTTTGTTTGTTTCATGCCATTTATGTTTGTACACTTCTGCCGGAAATACTGTTGTGTTTTGGCACACAAAATAATGAGTGATGTGCCTCGTCTCATCTGCCTTGTTTAGTCCACTCCTCTGTCATTTACAGCATGTGGTCGGGTCTTTGCTGCCATCCATGTTTCTCTTATTCTCTCTGTATGGCTGTGCTGCAGGCTGCGTGTGTGTTGGAATTGAGGTCTGGGTATTCGTGGCCTTTGCCGTGAGCCAGGCTTTGTCTGTCTCCCTCTGCCCTAGTGTGTGTGTGTGTGTGTGTGTGTGTGTGCTGCAGTGTGCTGCACTGAAGGACTGATCTCACTGACAGTACATTCCCTCTCATATACACACAGTGCACACACATGTGCACACACAGCAGTCTCGAGATATTCTTCTTCACACACACATACAATGCTGACCTTCTTTTTGAAATGCCTCCAGACACTGAAATATCTACTTCCCCTGCAAGTAATGCATGACCTCATCTAAAAATAGGCATGCAATCATCGAGGCAACAGGAATATAAGGATGCAGGAATAAAGAGAGAGGAAGAAAGAGCTAGCAAAAGAGTCAAAATTAATGAAAGATGGAAAGATAGAGGATGAAAGCAAGAACAAATTAAAGTAAAAGAAAGTGTGCAAGAAACAGAAAAAAGAGCACAGAAATTAAAAACAAAAGACAAGAAAAAAATCAAGCAAAAGGAAGTGTGAAAGAAAGCAAACTAAAGTGAAAGAACATAAACAAAGCAAAAGAAAGCAAAATAGTGAAAATAAAAGACCAAAAAAGTGAGATAAATCAAAAGAGTCAGCAAAAGAAAGCAAAGGTGAGTGTTAAAGAAAGAAGCAAAAGAAAAAGGAAAAACAACAAGAGCAAAAGAAAAACATTACTTTTGAAAAGAGTGAGCGAAAGAAAGCAAAAGAGTGTGAATGAGAAAGTGGGAGCAAAAAATTGAGAGACAATTATCAAGAAAGAAAGAAAGAAAGAGAAACAAAGAAAGATTTTATATTCTCATTGCTTGTATTATTAATGAAAGTGGAGGTTCTTCACTGGAGTCTGGCAGAGTATGTGATGATCATCTATCACACACACACTGCAGACATCTGAGATACACTTAAAGACTATTATCATCAATAACTGGCTCATCCACAAATTACTAGATATCAAATAACCTACAGCGTAATGACCTTCACATGGACATTATAGTGCATATGAAACTCAACACAGTGACATAATCAGTGCACACAGGGCCATGTGATGCTTCTGTTCAGATTAATTCTTTACCTGTTGACTGTACTGGGTGCGGGTGGGCGGCACGTCATAGATATCCTGGGTGGGTGGGAGGTGTCTGGGGACGTCATACTCATCCTGTTCATTTTTCCCCGTGTCATACACATACACTTGACCAACCCGTGTGGGAACAACCACCTAAGAGAGAGAAAGAGGAAAACAACTGCATGAGACTGTGTGAATGAATGGCTAGGCACAGAAAGGAGGATAAAGACGCTGCACTGATGGCGCCATTCATACCAGGTTAACACAGACACAACTACAACAAATCTGGGGTCTCAAAGGTCACCGTGGGAACAGGGGCCGTCCTTTTGTCGGCCTGTTTACCTTCTGTCTTAGGCTTTGAGGACTGTGTTGACCGTGTGAGCCTGGGAAATGAAAACAAGCTACGACCCCACATTTGTACAATGCCTGAAACATAATACCAATCACAACACACACTCAGATGAGCTGTTCACAAGGATTGTAGCATATGCAGCTAACGCACACTCATAGAATACTGTGATATTTGGGATGCAAGATATATTGGTAGCATATTTTTTATTAGCCAATATTATTATTATTATTTTAATTTTGGTATCTGTCAATATTAGATATTTAATTGTCATTTCCTCTATTTATATATTTAGATTGGTACAATAAATATATTCACATTGTAAATTGAAAAAAAAAGTACATTGTCTATTGTTAATAGCGTAGCTCACACAGAAATCACTTTCAAACCAAGCAGCTCTCTGTTGGTCAGCTTGATTTCGCATGACCAACTTAACCTTAATAGTTGACAACTGATATTAGAGGCTTTTTAAAAATTATTATTTATATATATATATTTTTTTTATTAGTTGATACTGTATATTTAATTGTACATGCTCATTTCTTGCATTTTTACATTTAGATTACATTTGCTGTCGAAGCTCACTCACATAAATGAGTTTGTTTATTCATTGGAACATATTTGGAGAAATTTAGTATTACATTACTTGCTCGCCAATGGATCCTCTGCAGTGAATGGGTGCCATCAGAATGAGAGTCTAAACAGCTGATAAAATCATCACACCTCTATCTATAATATTGCTTTCTCCAGTGGAAAAAGTTGTCTCTTCTGAATCAGGAGACCATTTTCAAGTGAAAACAGTCCAAAACAGTTCTAAACAAATATGTCAGTGGGTTTTTTTTTTTTAAATACAGACATGCAGTTTTTCGCTTCACGAGACATTAATTCACTGCAGTCATGTAGATTACTTGTGGATTATTATAATGTTTTTATCAGCTGTTTGGACTCTCATTCTGACAGTACATATTCACTGCAGACAATCCATTGGTGAGCAAGTAATGCTATGTTCCAATGAAGAAAACTAATCTTGGATGGCCTCAGGGTGAGTACATTTTCAGCAAATTTTTTATTTTTGGATAAACTATTCCTTTAAAGGGACTAATAATCAAATTTAGTGTTTTAATTTTTATTTATTTAGACAAAATAGTAAAGAATTTTAATATGGTGCCTCTCTATGTTTTATCAAATGGATAGTTCTGGCTCTAAGTGAATTTACCACAGTCAAGGGCGTTTTGTTCAGCATGAAGCAGAGCAAAATCACCGTAGCACATTGCCTCAAGAGGTTTAGTGCTTTAGTATGTTGGTAATGCACTCTGCCCTCTGGAAAACAAGTATTTGATCCTTAATATAAACATGTATGGACGGGCAGCATTGGTTTGTGTGCACTGGTGAGGTGTGTACAGTAATGATCAAGGTGGAGTGAGCTTTATGTAGTTTTCATGATTCCCCGCAGGCCAGTTAAACATGATTGCTGGCCTTTACTCATAACACTGCGTTAATGAGATTACGCACGCTTTCATTCTCGCTCTGTTTCTCCCTTTATCAGTTCACACCAGCCAGTCTATAGGAACGCACTGTGCCAGCCTTGCGTATGGGCATCACTTCTCGCATACTAAATAACAGATACTGACACAGATGCTCATCATGGATGCAGACACAGTTTGTAGAAGTCACTCAATAATCCCAGTACAGGGGTGAATCTCATATGACCAAGACATATTACACCCCCAAATCAAAATAAAGAAATAAGAAATCATTTTTTTGTTTGAAGAAAATAAAGCAAATATTTAGGAGCATTAAAGGGTTAGTTCACCCAAAAATTTTAATTAGCCCATAAATTACTCACCCTCAAGTCATCCTAGGTGTATATGACTTTCTTCTTTCAGACGAATCCAGTCGGAGTTATATTAAAAATTGTCTTTGATCTTTCAAGCTCTATCGTTGTACTCAGCGGGTGTTGCAGTGCTTCGGTTCAAATGACGTGAAATAAAAAGCACCCTTCCACAAAAAAAAGTGTCTCACACAGCTCCGGGGGGTGAACAAAGGCCTCCTGTAGCGAATCAATGCATTTTTGTAAGAAAAATATCCATATTCAAAACGTAATAATAACTTGAATCTAGCTTGCGCCAACAGTTATACACAGAAGCAGTTCTGGGGGAATGACGTATGGGGTCAGCGTTGCGCATGCGCCGGTGCGTCTCGTGAAAACCAACGTTTGTTTACAGGATCAAAAGAAGCAAAGTTTCATTACTTTAGCAAAGGAAAACAAGTCTCCTCTTGGCTTAT